TGGGTGGCAAAATTCGTAAGTCAACAATGGAGTCACCCTGAAATATCACGTTCCACCTATGACGTGTATTCAAGCAGTGGAAGAATTCTCTTCTTTCACATCCCCACAATCCTTTGCGTCTTTGGGGGGTAACCAGAGGGTAAAAACCCACTTATTTTGCTGAAGACTGATCAGACAATATAATAGTTTTTAAAATTCTTTCATATTAAAATTTTTGATTCCTTAGAGAATACAGGAACCATAGTCATAATTAAAGAACAAAAGCAATGTGAAAAGGATTATGGTCTAGAGACGGGGGTAAAACGGCATCTCGCTTCAGACTTATTAGACAACAACTGTTAAACACAATAACCTATAGAATGCACAAACTACAAGAACTCATAGACGACCTAGCTTGTCGAATCTGCTCGGAGAACCAGGAAACTGTTTCACACATCCTCGGAAGCTGTTGCAAGTTAGCACAAACGTTATACAAACAAAGACACGCATTACTTAACAAATATGGACATGAACAATCTATAATTACTCCTTACCATGGTACAAGCAATCTATACCACAGCCTAGTCAAGAAAATGGCGATGTCAAGATTGTATGGGACATCCCATGGCACATAGAGAAAGCCACAAAAGACGGAGCAAACAGAACTGACGTTAGTGTGCATGACAAAAAAAAAACCCCAACAAGGAATGGATTTTGGTAGAAGAAACCGTATGCACTCCAGGACCAATCACAGAAAAGACCCAACACAAGCAAAATAAGTACGTGAACCTGAAACTAGGAATAAAGAACTTATATCCAGGATATAAAGTTAGACACTGAAGTAACTGTAGTTTTTGACTTCTTAGGCGCTCACTTCGAAAATCTAACTAAAGAACTGAACGGGTTATTTGGACACCAAGTAGCTAGACTAACCATAGAACGCTCTCAGAAATGGATTATTTCACAGAATTGTGAAATTGTTCGACGTTTCATGTGCTTGTAGTTCTAAGAGAGACTCATTGTATATACTCAATTGATAACTTTTAGTATATTTTAGCTTTAATTATTATTTTTTTCTATTTTTTAATCATACCTATTTTACAGATTATTGCAAATTTTTATTTTTATTCATAAGCCGAGCTCCCGCGCGGGCCTTCGACCCACGCGAGCGGACCACCATACTTAAGGTAATTCCCTTGTTTTGCACTGCGCATTTTTCTGCGCATGCAACTAAAAGCTTGGAACTAACAAAGTTTAAGCATATTGCTTTCGGAAACTAAATAAGGAACATGTTTAAAACCAATTTTCACTTTTTTTTCTCCCTTTGAGTAGAGAAATTGCGATTTTTATCTGATTACTAGCCCCGGTCTCCAAACGGAAAGGTGTCAGTTTTCGACTATTTTGAGATGTTTTTTCAAGA